ACGAGAGAGAGCGTGTCTACATCTACATTCCCGGAGGTCGCTCCCGCACTTTAATTCATATGTTCTTCTTTGCCGACTGCTGGTGCCCTTCCGTGAACCTGGTCAGGGGGCGAATGCAATACACGGCTCTTAGCCTTATTCGCGACTATCCTAGATAGGGTTGATTTCGACTCATGACTGAGTCTTTCGTGATAGTATTGAGACAGGTTCTCATGACCGCTAGTCATACTGGGTCGATGGTGAAACATCGCGTCTAGATATTTAGCTGGCGTGGAGAGATTCCACGCTACTAGATAAATGCTAGAAAATCTCCACGCTGTCCGTTTTTGGATCGTGGAGTGGTAGGATTGCTACCGCAACTACTCTATCACACTTTACATCTCCCGCGGAGTTCAGACTACGATCCTTTGATTGTGATCTCTCTCGTCGATTAGTTTTCATAGCTTTCTAATCCTCTCATAACTTTCATTCTCTCAAACCAAAACACTCGAAAGATCTTTACACTAGCTTTAGCGTAGTGCATAGGCTGCTGTGCTGGTGGTCTCTGTTGTCCAGTTGTGGTTTGTTTGTCAGTGCATTGGGCGTGGTTGTTGTTGTGTTGTTTCTTCTTCTTCTTCGTCTCACTATCCTCACAACCTCTGCAGCCTCATCACACGGTCTGCCCGGTTGGCCCATGTGTTGTATTGCCTCTGGAAGTATGCAGTTCTCTGCTTTTCGGTTGGCGGCGGCTTCGTTGGATCTGGTTTGTACTCTTTCTGTTCCTCTGTCTCCACACAAATGAAGAGACCTTCTTCCTTCCATCATGAGCCTGTAATTGACTGTCTCCTCTGTGAGATTTTTATGCTCAAGCTTGATCTGGTGAATGTGAGTACTTGGCTCTGTCTTCATCACATGCATCCAATTCGCGGTTGAGGATATTGCACTTCGACTCTAACATAGTCTTCTTCAGAGCTCCATCTTCCATTGCCATGTCCAGCTTCTGATTCACACGTTGAGCCCAATACTTGAGAGGTATGAAAAAGCCATGCATACTGGCATTCCGCTTCAGCATGGGAATGAGGGCCTCCTCGATCCGTTCGTCATTCTCTGTCCTAGGCATTCTGGCTATGCTACTGTCGACAAGCCTAACAAAGTGTTGCCCGTTTTGGATCCAGTTCAAGCAGGGCTCAGGGATACCTATGCGGATGGATGTGCAGAGTTGGATCCACTTTGGTGATGATGTTGCATTTGCTCTGGTCGACTCCATGGCTTTGATGGGGGTGGAGTACTTTTCAAATTGGTTTGCCTCGTCCACAACGACCTTCACATCTAAACTTCACGCCATAAACTCGAAAGATGTGAGACAAATGTTGCCCGGGTGGACATGTTTTTACTATACAAATTATCAGTACTAACAAAGTTTCCCGCGTTTTGCGCGCTTTTACACGAGGCAGACTGACGATTCGACTGTGTGGCGGGCTCAAGTTTCAACGGATACCATATCGTACCGGTACACAGCCCCTTTTAAAATAATGCTTTTTTAAAAAAAGTACATATATTGTTCAGTGGGCGTAAAAGTATCCACGAATGGAATCTTCCGTTACTTGTTTGGTGCAAAAGGGCTAAGGATAGAATAGAAGCACGAGAAGGCAAAAGGCCAAACGGCCAAATCCACCCACCGAAGTTTCGCTCCGTTCGATACAGCGCAGGGTAAGTACAACTCTGCCAAAATACGGTACCCATTGCCAATACGATGCCTCGTGGTGCCATCGGCCGAGTACTGTCATCCGTGGTAGCTCGTACTAGTTTCAGCAACGGCAATGGTACACTGGCGACCGTTCCATCTTGGAGGCGTTTGTCTTCTGCTTCCTTGTTGCCATTTTCGGTTTTGAAGCGCATCCAATCCGACCTGAACGAAGCCGATGTCAATGGAGATGGCAAGATTGATTTTGAAGAGTTGAAACTGATCCTGAGCAAGTATCCACATTCCTTCTCGCACTCTCAGGTAGAGCAGATTGGGGAATTATTCTTTGTGGGCCGATCGGGTCAGGCTGTCCGCCATACCACCTTTCTCAGGGGTATCCAACATGTCCTTCTTCATCAGCAAAGTCAAGAAGAAGAACGGGTAGAAATTAGTACTAATCAATCATCCATACAGGAGAAAGACGTGTCTCCAGAGAATCCTCTCCAACTGGAAAGTTTGGATGACAATCGTTGCTGGGTAAGTCCGCAGGAAGCATCTTCCTCGCAAGAAACACTTTACGACATTCAGACACAATTTGATCAATCGCTGTTGGCATATGTCCGAGAAGTCCAATTGATGGAACAACTGGGGGGTACGGAAGCACTGCAACGCATGTCGGACGATTTCTACCATCGCGTTGCATCGGATCCTCGATTGCAGCACTTTTTTGTAGGACACGACATGGACCGCCTGAAGCGACATCCCTACAATTTTATGCGTGTGGCATTTGACACAACAGTCTGGCCCGAAGACGACCCCCAAGTGTTTGCCTCACGAGTGCGACGAGCCCATGGAACTTTGAAGCGAGAACAGGGCGGCTTGACAACGGACCATTTTGATGCCATGATGGATCATTTTGTCGGCACTCTCACCGACGATGGAACGGTGGCGCAGGATACCATCGATACGGCGGTAGAAGTCCTGCACTTGTTTCGAGACTGTTTTGCACCTTCTTATTTACCAATCTCGGACGAGGACTAGCTAGCTTTGGTGGCTATCAGCGACAAGAACCAGATTGTTTGGGCGTCTTGGCTTAGACCTGGTCTCGTCATCGTATGATCATACAATCTGAAGGTCTGGTCTTGTCGTACTACATGTACTAGTAGTAGAAGCAGGCATAGATCGACCTACTACTAGCTAGCCAGCTGTGAAGTTCACGGGTGGCAAGTCCACCGTGGACGGAAAGCTCGAGAAGACAACGTCGTGACGACCAATTTTGCGGAAGCAAAAAGTCGAGCGACAGTCAGTCATTTTCATTGAAGGAAACTACTTGACACCACTCATCCATGTAGCTATTAAATAGTAAGAAAGTCACCAGGAACAGAGACTGCCGGGTCCTTGAGTGTCCTTGTCAGGGAAATAAATGTACCACCCTCTTGGGTCTTACTTAGTTGGAAGCTCGGAATTAATTAAGAGCCCCAGAGGATCCTTCTAATATATTGATAGGGCGAGATCCAAAACCACGGAGCAAGTGGCCTCTGGCAGCCAAACAAAAACCTTAGAGTTCCCGATACAACACTATTACAGCACTAACCATCTAACCATAGCCTTGGAGATAGAAGAACTATTATAATAATAGCCAATGGGATCTCCCACTGGAAATGATCAGAGAAGCAGCATGGGTTGGAAACTGACTTGGACCGTGTGGGTACTACTAGGGCGAGTGTCTTGCGTTCTGGGTCAACCTTTGTCGGCTGTAGTGGAAGTGGAGAATGGTTCGTTGGTTCGTCCCGTAGTGACATTGCGTGCCGCGGTGATTCCAACTCCTCCATTTGCGCTCGTGGACGAAACGAACAATAATAAGCAAACCATCATTGGCGGGTACCACAAGGAACTGGTGGAATCTCTGGAAGAATACGCGCTGGCGTCCAATGTCTTTTTGCAGTTTGTGTTGGAGAATTCGCCCTACCCCAAGTACGGAGACGCATTGCGGTTGATTGGCACCGATTGTCTGGCGCAAAACTTGTCCGATGCCGAGTGCAACCGCTATGACCTGATTCTAGGCGATTACTACGTCAATCCCGGTCGAGCATCGCGTGTCAACTTTTTGCCTCCCTTTATTCGAACGTCCATTTCCTCCATCAAGGTGGTGGGCCCCAAGAGCCGTTTTGCCAACCGAGACTACACACTCTTGAAGGACGCTGAAAAGGATCAGGTCCCTGTTTGCGCCACCGATGGGACGTATGCGCAAAGAGTCGTACAAGCCAAGTACCCCAACGCCACATGGGTCAACTGTGGACCCACCATGGATCAGTGTCTCCAGAGTCTACTCAATGAGACGTGTGTCTTGTACACGGCCGACGAACACAAACTCAAGGCACGCACCGTACAAAACCCCATGCTACAAGTCACATCCGAAAACTTTCAAACGCAATTCTTCCAGTGGCCGGCGTCCTACCGAATGGCGGACGATGTGTACCAACTACTCAAACAGCTCCTGTACACGGCCGTTGCACAGGAACGACTGGATCAGTTGTACTACAAGTATTTTGAAATCAAGACGTGTCCCTTGGGATATGCCGGAACCAATTGTCAGGATCGATGCCATCCCGACCATGGCGTCGCCGACAAGTTTGGTGTTTGCGTTTGCGAAAGCCAACGGTGGACGGGGCCCGATTGTGCCACGGAAGTGGTCGAAGAACGCAACGAAATACCCACGGGGATCGTCGTGGCATCCGCCGTCATGTTTGTCGTCAACATTTCCGTCTGCATCGCATGTGCCGGATGGTTGTACCAAAACCGAAACTTGACACAGGTCAAATTGATGCAACCCTTCTTTTTAGTGCTGGTCCTATGCGGCTGCGCCATTTCCTCCTCGACTATTCTCGCATTCCTTTTTCAGCAGGACGACCCCAACGACGATAGTGGTGATCTTGTGGGAGCCTGCATGGTAGCACCCTTTCTCTACTCCATTGGATTCTGCATCACATTTGGAACGCTATTTGCCAAGCTGCGCAGGGTATACATTCTTTTTTCTTCCGCGGTCAACATGAGACGATATATTGTGTCATCCTCGGAAACGCTCGCGTGCATTGGTGCCCTTGTTTTGATTGATGGTATCATCCTCGTTACTTGGACCATTGTCGATCCATTGACGTTTCAACGACAAGTCGTCACGGAAGATATATTTGGATACCCCCTCGAATCGGTGGGATATTGTGTGTCGGACCACTGGGCCGTATTTACGGGCCTCATTGCCGCCCTGCACTTGACACTGCTCCTGGTTGGATGTTGGTATGTCTACCTCTGCAAAGACATTCCAAACGGTCTTTCTGATGCAAAGTATGTCGGTATCGCCATGATCAGCAATGCACAGATCTTTGTCATTGCCGTCCCCGTCCTGATCATTGTGGCATCGACAAACCCAGGAACCAGCGTCTTTGTACGCAACATTGTCATCTTCATGAACGATCTTGCAGTGGTGCTCCTGATCTTTGGAAGTCTCATGTATTCGGTATACAGCAAGTCTCAAAGCGATCAAGATGCGAGGGAAGTCGTCCAGACCGCGTTGCGAGATTACCGAATGTCGACACGGCAAGGACTCTCCTACGCCCAAGATTCCGATGGCAGCGGACCATTGGGTAGCTTGAGTAACAGTACCAGGAGTATGGCGAATGCCTCCGGACACGTACGGGCAGCGTCGAATCCCGATGTTCTGCTCCAGCCAGTGGCAGAAGTTCCTTCCACCCACAGCAGCAATGTCGAGCGACCTACAGAGCGAACACAGAAACGAAAATCAGTCAAGAAACCAGTGGATGTCCTAAAGGGCACAACTTCTTGGGGTGGGGCCAACTTGTCAATGTTCGTAAGAGATGATGACTCGGGAAGCTTTCATCCCACTCCCAATGATGACGTTCTGCTCCAACCAGTGGCAGAAGGGTTCCAAACAGCGGCAGAAGGGCTCCAAACAGTGGCAGAAGGTTCTTCGACAAGCGACAACGTTGTGCGACCTCCGGCAAGAAAGCAGAAGCAAAGAAAATCCACCAAGAAACCCGTGGATGTACTAAAGGGTGCGACATCTTGGGGTGGGGCAAACTTGTCAATGTTCGTGAGAGATGATGAATCCTCAAGCTTTCATCCCACTCCCAATGATTATGAAGACGAAGACATGGTGACGATTTTCTCCTCCAAGAAGGAACCGGAACAACCACAAACCAGTTGCGATACGTTGACCACGTCCGCAAGCACGGAGCGAGGGCATCAATAATCTCGCAACAGCAGATGGATGGGGCGAGGCGTTGACGATCTTCTAGCACATGGAAGTGACACTTGAGCAACTTTGTACACTAATAATAATGCATTTCATAGTTTCAATGAAGGTGAACTGAAGGAGCTACTGGAGGTTGCAAGGTTCCACAAGATCTGGTACCGGTACTGGCCAAGATGGTGCAGATGTTTTGGTTCGTGATGTGTACTTTTGTGAGGTTGTTTTTCGTCATCACCCGTGGAAAGACGCCTATAACTATGGGGACAACTTTGGTGCCTATGATTACGCACTTTAGTAATAAGTGCTAAGCAATACCAATACTCTACCGGTAGCTAGCAAGATCCACGTTACGTCTGGACTGTGAGGAAGCCGCCTCCTGATCCTCTGATATTTCTGACATGAGTCTGCCTCCCAAGAAACCAAAGTAGTGGGAACCCAGCAAGCAATGCAAACTACTCGTACTAGTATCATGACAGCACGCACCAACGTACACCAACCTGCATGTTGTACCATGGCAGGCAGGCTTGATTGCTAACAGTGTAGATGAAGGCGGAGGTGGAGGTGCAGCGCAGTTTAGCCACTAGAAAGGCAAGAGGTGCAGGAAAGTACATGGGTACGAACCACCACTAAAAGATCCTGCTGATCTCATTCATTCTGGTGCCATTCAAGACAAGATCGTCTCATTCATTCTGATGCCATTTCAAGACAATACCCAACCCGATCAGCCATGCAGGGAAGCGGCAAAACAAAAACCTGGACTGTGGAAGTGCCTTAAAAAATGGATATCGTGGCCAGCTCGAGCCTTCCCCCGGTGTTTTCGACCGTTTCAACGCAAAATTTTATGACGGTTAAGAGTCTCCTCAGCAGTATCAAGCAATCTTTAGATGTATATGTTTCAATTGTACCGCTAAGGATAGCGAACGAAGGATGAGGAACCATTCCGAACTCCGATTTTTCGATTGGCCTCGCGTTTGCTTTTCGAAGATCCACATTGGCTTGCGCTGGGTGTTCGAAGCAATGCCACCAAGATCCACGAACGAGTGACTGAAGCGACTGATCGACCGGCAAGCAAGCAAGAGACAAGCAAGGCATTGAGCGGCCAACAACAACAACCAGCAGAGACGAAACGCCGACAACACAAACAGTACAACAAGACATACATAAGCAAGCAAGTGATAGACAAGCAGAGTCGCCTCTGAGTGACAACAACAGGAAATAGGCAAGATGGCAGCTGTTCCTCTCATCTTCAATGAAGCTCTCAATGTAAGTAGACAAAGACAAGATGGATCCAAGGATTACGCGCGCCGTATGCGCCCGTAGAATCCCTACCAGAGCAAACGGATCCAACAAGATTTTTGGCACGATGGCGGTGGAATGGAAATGACCAAGGACGCGACGCGACATCAGAGAGAGACTAGTCTACTGGTAGTAGTCTAAAGGATGAGCTCTGGATGGCGTTGACTCAAGGTCTCGTTGGGCTGGAGAGGCGACAGACGGGATGACTTCAATTTCGGATCGGCATTGGCTTGGCGTGGTCTTTACCGTGGCATTGGCGGAACCCCATCCTTATTCATGGTCATGTCATGTCTGAGCCGTCGTGGAGAGTTTGTCTGGAGAAGTCTTCCCATCGTGCCAAAAATCTAGGACCGTCTCTTGATCATCTGGGGCTGGGCTGGGCTATGCTAGTCTGATCTTATCGGCATCGGCAGTGCAAATGGCAATTTTTGAAATTTTGGATTTTGTCTCACCTATATTTTTATTTTATCTTTTTGTGGCCATGAATGAATCGGCAATCACTTACCAATCTATCATCCAATCCATCAATCCATGAATTTTGTGTAGCTTCAACAACTGGGAATTCCCGAGGCATCCATCAAGCATGGACTGACTACGATGGAGTCCGACAAGTGGATTGTCTGTGTGGAACCATCCCAGGTCACCATGGTCGATTTGCAGAATGGAGCCCAGGTCACCCGTCGTCCCATTCAGGCTGAAGCGGCCATCATGAACCCTTCCCAAAATATCTTGGCTCTTAGATCTGGAACCACCCTCCAAATTTTCAATCTAGATGCCAAAGCAAAGGTCAAGGCACACAACATGCCCGAACCATTGGTCTTTTGGAAGTGGACTTCCACTGTCAATCTAGCTCTCGTCACGGCCACTGCCGTTTACCACTGGAGATTGGATGATCAGTCACCTCCCGCAAAGGTCTTTGACAGACACGCCACTCTTGGAGCCAACACCCAAATCATCAACTACCGTGTCTCACCCGACCAAAAATGGTGTGTCCTGGGAGGAATCTCCGCCGGTGCTGGTGGCGCCGTCAATGGAAACATGCAGCTCTACAACATTGACAAGAAACTATCACAGCCGCTTCAGGGACATGCTGCCGCCTTTTGCACCATCAAGGTCCCCGGACGAGATGACCCCGCTCATTGCATTGTGTTCCACGAAAAGAAACAAGACAACCCCGCCGAACCACCCAAACTATACATTCGAGAAGTCGGACGTGATCCCGCCAAGGGAGCTCCTTTTGGTGTACAGCCCTGTGTCATTCCCGTACCCGCCGATGCCGCCGCCGATTTCCCCGTCAGCATGGCCGTCGACCCCAAGCATGACATTGCCTTTCTATTGACCAAGATGGGATACGCCTTCATGTTTGATTGCCACACGGGAAAGACCATTTATCGGGCCAAGGTCACGGCCGATACCGTCTTTGTCACGTGTCCTCAAGATTCTACCGGAGCCATTTTTGGAATCACCGTTCGCAAGGGAGCCGTCTTTCGTTTGCAATTGAACGGACAAGCATTGGTACCATACATTCTCTCCACGCTGCGAGACAATGATTTGGCACTCAAGCTCGCTGGTCGACTCAATTTGCCTGGATCTGAAAATCTCATGGCGGCAGAGTTTGAACGTCTCATTTCCACCGGACAGGTTGCTGCCGCCGCCAAGGTGGTGGCGGCCAGTGGCAACGCCTTGCGTACACCTGCCACCATTGCGCGATTCCAACAAATTCCCGCCGAACCCGGTCAGGTCCCTCCTCTGCTTCAGTACTTTTCGACATTGTTGGAAAGTGGACGTCTCAATGAACAGGAAAGTATCGAAGTCGCCAAACCCGTCTTGCAACAGCGTCGTTTGCCATTGATGGAGAAATGGCTCAAAGATGACAAGCTTCAATGTTCCGAGGCATTGGGTGACTTGATTATGCCGCACGAAACGGGAATGGCCCTGAGTGTCTACCTTCGAGCGGAATGTCACGCCAAGGCGATTCAGTGCTTTGCTCAACGTGGAGAATACGAAAAGATTGTCCCCTACTCGGCCAGTGTCGGTTTCAAGATGGATTACTCCAACATGTTGAATCAGCTCTTGTTCAACAATCCTCAGGGAGCGCTCGATCTGGCCAAGGGTCTTGTCAATGCCGAAGGAGGACCCCTCATTGACATTCAAGCTACTGCCGAAGCATTCCTCAGCAGCAACCGTGTCCAGGAGACCACTGCCTTTTTGTTGGAGGCGCTCAAGGATAACAAGCCCGAACACGCTTACCTGCAGACCAAATTGTTGGAGATCAACTTGATTGGAGGAGCTCCACAGGTCGCCGATGCCATTATGCAACAGGGCATTTTGACACACTACGATCGTCCTCACATTGCCAAGCTTTGCGAACGAGCGGGTATGTGGCAACGAGCGGCAGAGCACTACACGGAGATTGCCGACATTAAGCGTGTGTTCAAGAACAGCCACCAAATGAACCCCGAGTTTGTGGTCAGTTTCTTTGGCAAGTTGAACCGCGACCAAAGTATCTCGCTGCTCAAGGATATGATGACGCGCGGACCACAAAACATGCAAGTCTGTGTCGAAGTCGCCAAGAAGTACCATGAGGAACTTGGATCGGAATCACTCGTGGAAGTCTTTGAGAGCAACCGCGCCACCGAGGGACTCTACTACTACTTGGGTGCTATTGTGAACTTTTCGGAGGATGCCTTTGTGCACTTCAAGTACATCCAAGCGTCGTGCCAACTGGGACAGTTCAAGGAGGCAGAGCGAGTGTGCCGTGACTCCAACATTTACGTCCCCGAGGAAGTCAAGACATATTTGAAGGGAGCCAAGCTTCCCGATCCGCGTCCGTTGATCCATGTGTGCGATCGTTTCGACTTTGTGGACGAGTTGACCGAGTACTTGTACCTCAACAGTCTTCTGCAGTACATTGAGGTCTACGTGACCAAGGTTTCTCCTACCAAGACACCCATGGTGGTTGGAAAGCTGTTTGACCTTGGCGCCAATGAAGATTTCATCAAGCGCATCCTCATGGCTGTCGGAACTGCTTGTCCCGTCGATGAGTTGGTGGAAATTGCCGAGACACGCAATCGTCTCCGTCTGCTTCAACCATGGCTTGAGGCCCGAGTCGCCACTGGAAGCACTGAACCTGGCACCCACAATGCTCTCGGAAAGATCTACATTACTTTGAACCGTGACCCCAAGTCTTTCTTGCTGAACAACATGTTTTACGATCCCAAGGTATTGGGTCCTTACTGCGAGGCTCTTGATCCACAATTGGCATTCATCGCCTACAAGAAGGGTGCCGGCGAATGTGATGATCAGTTGATCCAGATCAGTCACACACATGGACTATACCGAGACCTTGCCAAGTACCTTGTGGAACGTCAGGACATGGAACTTTGGGCCAAGGTTTTGAACAAGGAGGAGGGAGAAGCTGACGAGAAGGAAGAAAGCAAGCGTCGTCAACTCATTGATCAGGTTGTGGAATGGGCACTGCCAGAGAGTACCTCTGCCGACGAAGTCTCGTGCACTGTCAAGGCTTTCATGGCCGCTGATCTTCCTGGCGAACTCATCAGTCTTCTCGAGCGTATCATCCTCCAAGGATCAGACTTTTCGGATAACAAGAACCTTCAAAATCTTCTCATTCTGACTGCCATCCGAGCGGATGCCACCCGTGTTTCCGGATACATTGATCAGCTTGACAACTTTGATGCCAAGGACATTGCCCTCATTTGCGTCTCTGAAAGCCACATGCTGTACGAGGAGGGTTTCAACATCTATGTCAAGTTCTCCAAGCCTGAGTACACAACCGAGAAGGAAGAACAAGTGGAGATGCAGGTTCTTGCAATCGGAGTCCTTGTCGATTTCATGAAGGATCTTGATCGCGCCAAGGGATACGCGACACAATGCGACGAGAAGCCTGTGTGGTCCAAGCTTGGTAAAGCTCAGCTCGATGAGAAATTCCCAGCAGACGCCATTGAGAGTTTCATCAACGCCGATGATCCTAGTGAATACGTCATGGTCTGCACCGAGGCCAACGCCGCCGAGATCTGGGCCGAGCTCATTCCATTCCTCAAGATGGCTCGAAAAACCATGCAAGAAAATCTCATCGATACCGAGCTTATCTACGCCTTTGCCAAGACCGGCAACCTTACTGAGATGGAAGTGTTCGTCAACGGACCCAACGTCGCCAACATTCAAACTATTGGAGACAGATGCTTCTCGGAAGGACTCTACCAAGCCGCCAAGATCTTGTTCATCAGTATCAACAACAACTCCAAGTTGGCGCTCTGTCACATTCACTTGGAAGAGTACCGCGAGGCTGTTGCTGCCGCCACCAAGGCCAACAATGTTTCGACCTGGAAGGCCGTTTGCTTTGCCTGTCTGCGTGCGGATGAGTTCCGATTGGCCGCCACTTGTGGTCTGCAAGTCATCAAATATCCTGACCATGTTGACGAGGTTGTGAACTACTACTCTGACCTTGGACACTTTGATCACTTGGTTTCGTTGTTCGAGCAAGGATTGGGCTTGGAAGATGCCCACGTAGGTATCTTTACCGAGTTGGGTGTTCTCTACACCAAGCATGTTCCCACAAAGGTCATGGAACACTGCAAGGTCTTCTTCAGCAAGCTCAATGTTTCCAAGGTTGTTCGCGCCTGCGAACGTGCTCGTCTCTACCCTCCGGCTGTGTACCTCTATATGCAAGACAAGCAACATGACAGTGCCGTCAAGACCATGATCGAGCATGCTTCCGCCTGGGAGAATGACTTGTTCCTCGACTCCATTATCAAGGTCCGAAACGCCGAGCTCATGTACAAGGCCGTCAATTACTACCTGACAACGCACCCCATGCTCTTTACACGATTAATGGAGGTGATGGAAGAGAACATTGATCACTCTCGTGTCGTGAGTCAGCTTCGACGAACTGGCGATTGGGCTCTGCAACTGGGACAAGCCTACATGAAATCTGTGCAAAAGAACAACTTGAGTCCGGTCAACGAGGCATTGAACGAGGTAAGGAGGTTCCCTGTTAAATGCTGCTATCTGTCTATGGGCTATTGTGGATTCTAACTCGATATCTTTTATTTCTTTTCGTTCCTTATTGCAGCTGTATGTCGAGGAGGAAGACTACGAAGCTCTTCGCAAATCCGTGGACAGTTTCAACAACTTTAACATGATTGCACTGGCATCCAAGCTTGCCACTCACGAATTGTTGGAGTTCCGCCGAATCTCTGCCTATGTCTACCGCAACAACAAGAAGTGGAACCAATCGATTGAACTGTCGAAGAACGATCGCATGTGGAAGGATTGCATTGATACCGCGAATGAGTCTCAAGATATCGAGATTATTGAGAATTTGCTTCGATTCTTTTGCGACGCATCCGAGAAGGAGTGCTTTGCGGCTTGTCTGTACACGTGCTTTGCTCACATCAGCCCCGACCTTGCGTTGGAACTTGGCTGGATCAATGGGTATCACAACTTTGTCATGCCATTCCTCATTCAAACGTTCCGCAAGACTCATGTGCGCCTGAAGGCACTGGAGGAACGCACGGCTCCTCCCAAGGAAGAAGACAACATGCAGGACAATGTGGCCAGCACGTACGGAAACTTGGGTGGCTTTGGTGGCGGTGTGTTGATGTTGGAGAACGGCGGTCCCAGTTTGGGCGGTCCATCTATTCCCGGTGGAATCCCCATGCCTGGAACTCCCGGCGGAGGAGGTGCCAACATTGACATGAGTGGCTTTGGCGTTGGCAATCCACAGATGAACGGTGGCATGGGAGGCGGTATGCCCGCACCTGGCATGGGCATGCCTGGAATGATGCCTGGAATGGGAATGACGCCGCAGTTTTAAAAAAAGATGAAAATGAACGCTAGTGGGTCAATCAATCAATCAATCAAGCAACCTTTGGAATTTTCTTTTTGTGGGGAGAACAATGATGAGATTTGTCGTCGAGTCCGATCCTGATCCTCCAGAAAATGAAGTGAAATGAAAGGTTGTGTCTGCCAACGCTTACCGTGTTTTGCCAATACTACTAGAAGAGCGAATTGAAGAAAAACTATAATCGTATTTTGTGTTGCTGTGATCTACGCCAGCTTTGAGTAGACATGTTTGTAGATAGAATGATCGCAACATGGGAGACTCCATCTAGACACCGAAACAAATAAATGTTCCACTAGTCATTTGTAGGATCTTCAGTACGTGGTACATGTTGTACTGTAGTCATGGCAAGGCGAGCTACGGTACCACCTGACGGTCTTTGGAATGATGCTTTGGAGACCCTAGCTAGTAAACAGCAAAAATATTGTAAATTACTGCTCCAGAGTACGGGCTTACTACGTGTGAGCTAGCTAGTCTAGTTGGGTTTATTAGACTACTAGTTTACGGGTGGTTTCGAGCTTTACACGTAGCCGTGGTACAAAATCCTACACACCGGAAGGCTCATTTCCACCCTTGAAATTGGGGTGTAAAATCCCTAAAGGAAATCTTAGTGGGTTAACAGAGATGAGTCTTATTTGCTAGTGATTAAGTCTAAATCGATCCCATATCTTAGTGATTGACTCTTCGCCTTCCACAAATAAGAAAGAACAACAAAAAAGAAAGATCGACAATGAAGAAAACGACGGCTTTTCGAAGCCCTTCCGAGGCCTCTGAAGCTATGCAAACCTACGCAGGAGCAGTAGGTTCACCATACTCCGACGCCTGAATAGCGGCTTTGAGCTTGGACCTTGTTTCGGCATCCAAATTGCCCATGTTGTTGGTGACAGCTCTTGCCATTTGATACGCTGCCACGCCAAGAGCTGTGTCTTTTACTTGCACGTCCTCCGACTTGAGATCCGCGAGTTCCTTCTCTTCCTCTTCTGTCCACTTGTTGACAGGGAGTGGTTCTTGGGTCATTCGAACTGCCGCAATGAGATCTGCTTTCCTGGAAGGCAAGGGAGTGATTTTCTTCCATTTCGCTAGAATCTTCAATTCCGCGACAACAAAACCTCTTCCATCGGCTTGAAGCTCTCCCTTCTGTTGTATCAAGGCCTTGGAAGTAAGCTCAGCCTCATGTGCAGCAATGCGGGCCTTCTTGTCATCCTCGAGGGCTTTGACCTTCTCTTCTCTTCCAGCGAGTTCCCTGGCTTTGAAAAATTCGTCGGTATTCATGTGTCTCCCTCCCGTGGCATAAAACATCTGGCCAGCAGTCTTTGCCTCCTTGATTGCCTTGATGCGTTCCTTCGAATGAGGTTGCGTCACAGCCACGAAGGTTGTTCGCTTGGGAGCATTCCTTTTCAACTTGTCGCCATCCATTCCGAATGCATGGAGAAGGTCACAGAACAAATGATTCATCTCTTCAATTCGCTTGAGTTTCTCTACCTCTGGATCTTCCTTTTCACCACCGACAAGAGCCACTGATGCCGCTCGATCGTCTGGAACTTCATGTCGCAGACTCGCCAAAAACAAGGGATCTCGTGTGAGGGGAACAGCCCCGCATTTCCTCCAGACGGACAAATTCCTTCCAATACTGAACGCTGCTGAAAAGGAATCCCTTAACTGGACATTTGTTGATGGGCATTGACCACCGAACACAAGAAGAGGTAAGTCAGACACTTGCAGAGTTTTCCCAATGTCAAATCTCGCTTGTGAAATTGATCTCAGGTTTTCACGAAAAGAACTCTTGTAGATCCCATAATTTTGATCAGTCTCCTGGGTGATGCTGGTTGAATTCGGCACGCCTGGAGTGATGTAAACTCCTTGCAGTCGGAGATCAGCTTGCATCTCCAGGTTCATCCTTCCTGGGCCGCTGTCAGCCTTCAGAAGCACTCTCTTCAAAGGTTTGTCTTCAACATCCGGATAGAGAGGAAGAATGGAATTCTTCATATATTTGTCCAACTCAACCATGTTCATTCCTGCTCTTTCATTCATTCCGAAGGTACAAGGCATCGCTCTTCTCTCTTGTAATCCCCACTTGCCAATGACATCTTTGGTATGCTGGAACCAGTCGATGCCAATCCTCTCTCTCTCTGCAACAGTGGCCAACGTCTTCAACTGGAAATGAGGTGGCAACGGATCGCCAGATGCTGTGCTCCCACAGATCACCGTGCATGAGTAGCCACTCTTATTCACTGCGGTTCCACCACCTGCAATGTCAGGGCACATGAAGATGAGCGATGGTCTACCGCCCCTACTTCCAGTAGTGTCATCAAGGGAACCATCAGTTTCGTCAAAGTTGATGATTCGGTCGAGTTGGCCATCAAAGAACACAAGTTCTCCAGTTGCACGGCCACTGGAATCATGTTTCGGATCATCAGGACTTAGCTCTCTGGCAAAGCCCAACTCAACTAACGTGTCCTTCCAACTGTCGAACCAGTAGTTGAGAGTGTAGTGAGTTGTCCATTGCAGCCTTCTGTGTTCCATTACATTCGCCTTTTGATGCTCGAACTCATCGGCTGTTTCCTTTTTCAACTTCAACGTGAGACCATCCCCACTTTTGTCATATCCAGCCTTGTTGACAGTACAGTTTACTAGGCGAGACATTTGCTTTGTGTTGGATTGCTTCTTGCTCTCTGCTTGTTCAAGTTTCAGGTATGTCGTGTAAGCTCCAGCGAGTGCTTTGTAAATCCGGGGTGGAAAGTCACCAACTGGACCTCGCTTCAAAGGTGATACTCCCACGAGACCTTCCCTCACATAGCGAGCTGCTGTTTTGGCATTGACATTGGAGTTGAGCTGGGCATTTATTTCAAAGCAAATTACAGGAATACTCTTCTTGTCTTTGTGCCCCTTGGGCAAACCTTTGCTCTTCACTATCTTCTTTGTGATAAGTTTCATTGCTGTTTTGTCTCTCTTTTGTATGGAAGCGGCTGCAGAGTGTGCCCTCATCACTTCCTTGGCTGTTCTTCGGTACCTTTTCTTTGTCTCCTTGCCGCTGGCAGCAGATAATGAGGCGACGGCCAGTGCTGCATCAAGTCGCTGTTTCTCTGTGACCTCTGAAGATGATCGGCGACTGCCTGTGGATGTGGAATCTTTAGATCCACTGTCACTTGGACCTGTGACTATCGACACATCAGAACTGGAGGTAGCAACAATCTGCAATATTCGAGATGGCGGTGTCTGTTTCTGGGCCTCTTTCTGGAGCTTCATGGCTCTGCGTCGACAGCGCTGATACAGTGTCATGTTCCTGCGGTCTGGTGTTCTGATTCCAACCAGAGACAAGGCTTGTGCCACTTTGACCTTGCCATCTGACACTGCGACAATGCCAGAGGCTTGCTCGAGTAGTTTGTTGACGTTGTATACGTCCTCCGACATCGTACTGAAGCGATTGCAAGGGTGTTGAGCCACTTTTGGTTGGTGAAAACAGAAGCAACAACACACTTTACAGATGGTGGACGAAATTGCCGAAAAGCAACAACAACACGATAGCTAGCAATAATGGTCGTTTTCGACTATTCAGAAAGGCGATACACTCATTCCGCTTGTTATCCCCTCATCTATAGTGCTATTACTACTAAGTCCGTGTATAATATTGGGGGTGTTACTAGTTTCTTAGTCTCCGAAATGCCGTCGGCATCATCATTGTCAGCTTGTTTTCTGTCGATCAGAAAAGATGTAAAATTTCGATGGCTCAGCACTATCCTTAAACTAGTACACTTGCATGATGTGCGTGTTCAGAAGCTGTGACGTTTGCAGCTTCCATTGATTGGGCGAAATTCTTCAACTTCTTTCCTAAAAGATTTAACAAAGTCATGGTTTGACGTCCGAAATTGTACTGACGTTCTGGAAATTTCCCTCGAATTTAAGATATTTCGGCAGTGACGCACGCAGCACACGCACCAGGGGCGAACGGAGCCAATCACAACGTGGCAAATGATCCGTGATCACCATCAATCACAACCATTAGTCTGCTTTGTGAGAAAGACAAGCAAGAGAATAGAGCCAAAGCATTCTGTTGCTACGTTGCTCCTTGGTCTTCAGCAATCGTATGTGGACAATTGGCAGAAGTCTGTCTGAAGCTGAGACGACTGTGGATTGCTCGTGGCAAGAAGGAGGCAGTACAGCACTGGCATGGTCTTTTGATTTATTTTTCTTCAGTCCAACGTACCGTTCGTTAGCCAACCAACTATCGAGCTTGTGTCATTATTTTTTCTTGTGTCTCCATTTCTCTATTTGTGTTCAGTTTGTGTTTCAGTTGCTGAATCTCCATCATCTCCTTCTAGACTAGCTAAGTATATCGCATGACGACGAGTGTGGAGCAAACAATGAGAATCTGTGAATCATCTATCAATTGTATGCATATCAATAAAATGTCCAACAATAATAATCATTCAACCATCCAGATGAAGAGGAAGATGATGATCAAGGCAACGGCAGTGGCAGCTGTGAGTGTGTTGTTGGTCAGCGATGTAAGGGCTCTTCAGCCCCACAAGCCCAATGCTCCCACTAGCAGGATCTCTTCCACCCGCCTGGACTACATCAGTTTGGCAGCCGCTCCAGCCACTGAGAAATCTACACAAGAACAGACATTGCAAAGACAAGAGGATCTCCAGAAACTAGAGCAGTTGCTGCAGTTGGAAATATCACAACAGACACAGACACAACAGGCACCACCTCTCCCTGAAAAGAAACAGAGAGCCAAAAAGATGAAGAAACTCAAAAAGGTCAAGGAGACTACTTCAAGTTCTTCTTCATCTAGTAGTTCTAGCAGTTTGTCTGACCGACTGCAGAAACACAAAAAGACCATTCAAAAACAAAGACAACAAAAACAACAACCAAGTTCAACACAGCACAATGACGTGGTTTCGCTAGACTCGGTCTACTGGATCCGTCAAAGCAACAACAACAACCAGAACAAGAAAAAGAAGACAGCCTTGCTCACCAAGGAACAAGAGATTGTCCTCACCCAACAAATTCGAGCACTACGAAAAGCCGAAACGGTACGGGACGAGTATCTGCTCGCCACTAATCACAGTAGCGCTTCCGAAGCCGATTGGGCGCAAGCCTGTGGACTCGAATCGTCGTTGGAACTTCGCAAGGTCATTCGATTGGGACAAGAAGCCCGGTCGCAACTGGTGCAATCCAATATGGGTTTGGTCGTTAGTATTGCCAAGAAACATCACGCCAGTCTCAAACACGCCATGGAAGCCGGACAAGGGTCTGTCGGAACCATATTGACGCTGCAAGACTGTCTCCAAGAAGGACAGATTGGACTCATCAAGGCAGCCGAACGATTCGATCCTTCTCGCAATGTACGATTTGGGACTTATGCGACCTGGTGGATACGGCAACGGATTCTTGGAGCGATTCGAGATACCAGTCGCATCATTCGATTGCCGGCTCATGGTGAGTGCATTGTATACGCAAACAAACTACACATCTCGTGGACTGTTCCTTCATTGCAGATATACGTGTCTCTCGATCGCTTGCTCACTCGTTCCATCTGCCCACCCTTGTTTGGTACTACTCTCTTTCTTTTCTTAAACAGTCCACACCATGCTCATGAAAATGAAAAAGGCCAAGAAGCAAATACGGCAAGATATTGGAAGAGAACCGTCCGTGCCCGAGCTAGCGCATTACATGGAATTGCCCGTCGAAAAAGTACGACAATACACTCACGCGTCGCAAAACGTACTCTCCCTCGAAAAACCACTTCGCACTACGGCTGGACGATCTCAAATGGATACCGATTCGCGAACACTGGCGGATACCATTGCTTCGGATGCTCCCACGCCACTCGAAGATGCTCAACGCGAATCGTTGCGACGAGATTTACATCAAGTATTGCTGGAGCATTTGACGGCCACGGAACGAGCCGTGCTCATGGCACGCTACGGATTGACCGATGGAACCGCCCATTCGTTGGAAGAAACCGCGCGGATTGTCGGTGTCAGTCGAGAACGCGTACGACTCGTCGAATCCAAGGCATTGAACAAGTTGCGCAGTCCGCAAAAGAATTATCGATTGCAAACGTATGTGGGTGGTGGTAGCAGTAGTGGCAGCAAACGCATTCCCCCCAAAACAACAGCAACAGCAACAACCACCAAGCGGTATCAGATTCAAGAAAATGACAAGGCGTCGGCATGGACTGTCACAGACCACAACAGCAGAGACGTCGTGTCGCCATTTGATTATGCCATCAAGACTGCTTCTCCTTCTTCGACGACGACTTCTTCCAAGAAGCGATCCAAGGTAAAGCTTTCAACAAGACCCACGCGTGGAAAACCACAGATCAAGAAGAATGCTTTGACGATGGGACAGGACTATGGTAGCAAAATGAACCACAAAAGAAGTGGGGACGAGACGGCTGCTCTGCCAAAAGAAGAGGCAGCGACTCCTGATCGGCTATGGTTCTTTTAATTCATCCTGGCATCAAATGTTGGAAGAAAGAAGAAACGCAAAAAAGGTACCGCCAGAATGCCACTGTGTATCCATGGACGAAACACACTCCAAACTATGGTCCCCACAGATTGCCCTTTGGGAAGGATGCACACGGACAACCGTGTGTGCCCAAGACCACATGGTTTCTCGATCGAGAGGTTGAATCTACTACCGTACTAGGTCGAGGCGAGGACAACCAAACGGATCAACCGAAGCAGCAATAACCCCGCCAAACGATTACGGAATTCCAAAGCCGAACAAAGATTGGCTTGCCAGCTAGAACACATACAACTGCACGGACACTGACCAACTAGCTGGCTGGCTGGGGTAGCCATCCATCCACGTGACAACCATTACTGTAGTAAAATACTGTAGTTGACTGGGATTGCAGAGCTGAAATGACATAAATATGCTACATGCAGTACGAGTTGCTTCATAAATTGGGCAAAATACCGTATCGAGCTAGCAGAATAGTCTCTTAGTTGTTCCTTTCTAGATGAATCAGTTGCACCGCATCGTCGTGGAGCCCAAACCAGGAGAGAGCCACAATTTTCGTAGAGAGGAAGCACATGCGTGACAATCTGGACGCACCCGCTCCTCCTCGAACGATCCGACCAAGTTTCGGAGAGACACCCACCCATCCTCCAAAACAGTTTGTTTGTTTGTTTGTTTGTTTGTTAATCAGTCTGTAGTGAGTAGCACAACGGTGCAAGACAGGGGCCTGTTTTTTGTTCACAGCCATTGCCGATTTCGGCTTGAAGAAACTGTGGGAGCCAGCCAGAGACTGCATCCGTGAAAGCAATGCTGGTGCCTTTTTGTTGGAATGCATGGCCAAAATTCTGAGCCATGCGGCTGTATCCGTCGCACTCAAAGGTTGGTTGGTGCATTGTTCGTTCAGAGTGTAATCTGGCGGTATCAATCAATCAAATCATGTCGGTAATAATCCTCTCCCAAGAGTTCCGAGAGCAACTGGTTGTGAGGTTGAAAGAACCGTTCCAAATATGCCCTGGTTTGATTGGGAATGGGTGGATGCACCATTCCCTTTTTCCGATATTGCCCTCGTGTCCGATAGGTTTTGTGATAGTCCACGTCCAGTGGAAGGGGCGGTGCCCCAAGAAATTGCAGTACTTGTCGAACAGTCTGGGCAGGATCTTGTTGCAAGTCTTCGAATCTTAGTACGAGTAGCGAGTCTCGACCAAAGTATGGAAGCCACCATTGGAGTTGAATGGCATACATGCCCCGCTGTAAAAAGTTGGTATGAGAGTAGTTTTGTGCCAAGTGTTGATGAATGGCCGTGGCGGCGTTGGAGAGTTGGAGGGGCGGAATCTGGAATGGGTCCTTGTCATCATATAAATGCGTACTAGCCAGTGTCAGATCTTGTGGTTCTTGTGGTTGTTCAGGTTCAATTGGAATAGGAGGTGCCCTGGTCAATCCCAGTTCCCTTAGACGCTGCAATTCCTGATTGACTAGACTGGTAAAGGATTGTTTGACATTTTTCTTTTCGCGTTCCATTTTGTAATGGGAAAATGCTCGTTGAATGGGATCCCTCAACAGGACGACAATCTTTGGCTTCCAGGGACATATTTGATGAATCAATGCCGGGACAGTGGGATCCACCAAGTAGGACGGGGTCTTTTCGTAAAACAGATATCCATCGGTGTTGTTTTGCAGGACTCGTTCCAGCATTTTGCTGTGAAATGTGGATTGAATGTACTGGCGTTGGACGTCACAGAGCCATTGGGGTTGGATAGTACTTGTTGTAGTAGAATGATACTTGTTTTTTAGATATCGTTGCAACTTTTGATCAAAGAAATGAGGCTCAAACTGCTGCGAAGCAATCATCTGAGGATGCTGCACCAGAAAATCCCGTAGTGCCGAAGTTCCTCCCTTTTGGGTTCCTGCCAGAATAAAGTGAGGAACGGCTGGCAGTTTCCACTTTTGGTTGTTCTGGTCCACGCATTCCCATGTTGTAGTGCTAGCTGTACTCGTAGTGGAAGTTGTACTTGTAGTGGGAAGGGACTTCTTCTGGTTGGACATGGTTGGTTCAGTACTAGTACTTGCAGTGTTGTCTTCAGTGTTGTCTTCAGGGGAAAGCAAAAGCGAGATCATCTGAAGCAAGAAGAGCAGACAGATCAAGACAAACAGAAAAATCATCAAAGGTCGTCTCTTGCGGCTTTCTCGGACTGTCACTGACACTCTCATTGTACCAACGATACCAACTACATGTATAAAACAATCATCCTGTTACTCCTCCATCTACTATGTCATGGGAACAGGGAGAGCAGGATCACAGAGGCACAGGGAAAGACCAAGCAAGAAAGAAGAGGGTCAAGTGTTGACGATGGTTTGAGAGGTGAGAAAAGATTGGGCGCCAAAAAGTTGGATCTTGAATTGCCTGTTTTGACGGCTTAATTAAATGGTTTCATTAACTCTAACAATTGCATAAGTCACGAACCTGTGGGTCACGTTTGGTACAAAAATTTGCTTCCACGCGTCAATGCTCAAAGATCCGTGTCAACACGAGAAAAAGTGAGGCTGTGATCGGAGGTTGATGGTGATGAGTGATGAGACAATGGGCAAGCCACAGTGATTGAAACCATACAGATACATACATACAAGACCAGCAAGCAGTATACATTACAATCAACGCTATAGAATAGCAAGATGATCAAGTTTGTCGGTCTATTGATGGCAGCTGCCATGATTATGAGCAGTTCCGTTGTATCTGGTTCGTTTGTGGAATCTCGGAATCGTCTTCCCATGTCGCTTTCCGGTGTGATTTCCGAGTTGCAAGACAGCGTCACCGAGTTGAGCACGGCTTGTATCATTCCGTCTCGTACTCTTACGGCTACTGAAAAGCAGTCCATTCTACAAACCATTCTAGGCGGTGCACCCGACGCCAACAGCAAGGCCATGGCCACGGATCAAGGATTGGCCGTCTGTCAACCATCCAGCCTCGACGAAATCGTCAATTCTGCCGTGGCGTGTCAGGGATCTGTCATTTTTGTCCCCAGCAACACGGATCTCACACAAGGAGAAGGATTGATGGAAATGCTAGGGCCTGCCATGGAACGAATCCTTTCTACTAGCACTAGCAAGGGAAGTCTCGTCGTTGTTTGTAACGAACAAATGGGCGCCAAAGTCACACAAGCCAAACTAGAAGCCGCGGCAGCACCCATCTTGCAATCCCTTACCGACAAGAAAACAATCAAGTCACTACAAGATGTATTCTCCTCCGTCACTTATGTTACGGCCAACCAAGTTCAGGACACTCTACTTGCCAATACCAAGACTAGCCCGGCGGATGTCATGGCACTGGTCAAGACCGTCATGGAACAAGCCGCATCCGCAACACCTACTAGTTCCATGTGGGACCAAAAGATGGCCAAACAACCCGTCGAATTGGCAGCCGCCCGCAAACTACTCACGGTCTATAAGCAAGTCCTCGACAATGCCAATCGCGTCATTAATGATGCCACCGCCTCCAATACAGCTCTAGTAACCGATTTTGGTGCCCTCGTCGATGCTACTTTGAAACAAGCGCAGGATACATTTACGAACGAGAACAAAAAGTTATTGGGCACGGCTGTCGGAAAGCAATTGTCGTCTTCTTTGTCCACTGAATTGACATCTGGATGGATGCATGGGGCGTTTGAAGCACAGCTTGGGCTCTTGCAAGATGCATCGTTTGCTACCTTTCGACAAGCCCTCGGAAAATTGCGTCTGGGACCGACTCTGTCGAGCGATATGACTGCCATTGTCCAAGACACGGTCCAGCAATTTGCCAAGACGGTCCAGGGATTGTTGCCCTCTTCTGGCAGTAGTAGTGGCAAGACTCGTGCCGCCGATTCCCGGGCGGCATTGTCCCGTCGTTTGACCGAATTCTGTCACGATCGATTGCAAGCGGCCGAAGCCAGTGGACAGTTCAAACCCGTTCCCCGCAAGGGTGTTACGGTCGGTATGCATTGGTTGTTGCCCAAACCATTTGGCAATGATTTCCGACAAGAACCGTGGATGACACATGCCACCGATAACATGGTGTACGTTCCTCGTCGACCTACCAAAGTGACCGAAGTACCGGAAGAATCCATTATTCAAACAGGAGATTGGAGAGATCAAGTGGTTCCCAGTCCGGCCGGACGGGATATGGTGTTTATGCAGTAGGTAGTTACAGTAGTTCTGTAAGTACGGTAGTTAGTTGTTACTAAAAAAGAGTGAGTGACTGAGTTTGGTACATGTAGTTGGAGGGAGAGACAAGCAGGTACAACGGTGGAGGAGGACGAACAAAGAAACTGAAAACGTAGCGACTCGACTCGACGAAACGGAGGCAACAGGTCGTTGGTGACTGTCGATAGCGAGAAAGACTTCTGCTTTTTGGTGGGATTGATTTTTCTGAGTTGTTCAGAAGCAAGAGGAGCGTTCATTGAGCGAGTAGCTACATGACATTATACACAAAGCATTTGGCCATTGCCAGTACATCGTACCACTAAACGACAAAACGTAGCTGCATACCGGGATGAAACGGAAAACCAAAACTTTCTGAAATTGGGCGAATCTCTCACAAACGGCTCCGTAGCTAAGGTCGGTCCTGTGTATGATAAGTAGCTTTTATGCCTGGGGCTCCAGGAGGATCAAGAAGTGCTTCCAACAATTGTGCCTACCACCAAACAGAGGTTAGTTGCATGGCTGTCTACCAGTACCGAACCGTAGACAACGAGCAGAGGAGGTACTGGTACGGTATGGAGCGGCTAGCTAGCTGTTGCCATAGTAGTACCGAAGCAAACGCAGTCAAGAAACGGAAAACTACAGCTATCTGAAATAGGCCAGGAAGCACCCTCACATCAGTACTGTATCCAGCTCCGTGAGATCGGTCCTGTGTGTGCCTGCGGCTCCATGATCAAGGACTGTTACCTACTAGTACATTCGTAGTAGCCAAACAGAGCCATGGTCATAACTTGGAAGCGGTGCTGTACGTTGTTCCGGACAAAATTGGTCGGTGGCTCATTGTGACCTGTGTGGTCGGAAGTCGATGCCTTTGGCAATAAATCCTGACTTGGAACGGTACTCCCGCACGCAAGAAAAGCGTGTTTGCCCCTAAAGAAATCAATCGTGCAGAACCCCTGGATCTTGATCTTTGAGGTGATGTTGCCGGTGACGTCCGAACGCCGAAAGCAACGGTAACAAGATAAATGAGGCGACTTCCCCTCACAATAGAAACCAACAGTCCTTTATCTCACAATAATTTACCAACCACCAACAAAACCTGAAGTCATGAAGTTGTTGGCCAAGACATTTGCCCTTGCTGCTGTGACAGCTGTGGCAGCTGAAAATGGGCTCCGCCCTGATGCTGCTGCTGAGGTACGGAAAGATGGATCTTGTACCAATGGTATATGGTATCATCGTTTCTCTGCTTTCTAATGCTGAGTGTTTCTTTCTTTCTTTCGCATCAATTATATTATTGAACATAGCACCGACGCCTGGATGACATTACGGATGCCATCGATACACTGTGTGGCCTCTGCAGTGCTTGTGATCTGTTTGGACCCTTGTGCTCCCCAGCGGCAGTTGTGGATTTTGCTTGTGCCAACTGCGCAACCCTTGACGTTACGGGCTTGTGCGAAGCATGCACCGCGTGCTCATCGATTGCTGGGTGCGATGCGAATGCTGTGGCTACTACCGGTTGTGGTATTTGTCCCACCGACGACGGCGGTACTGATAATGGCGTTGCAGAAATTGTAGAGGAGGTGTGCTTTTCCGAAGTTGCCACGGTGCAGGTATTGGGCAGCAAAGACAGCAGCACTCCCATGAAAGACTTGAAGGTGGGAGATCATGTTCTGACCGCCGACGGAAGCTACCAGCCAGTGTATGCCTTTGGTCATCATCATCCCACTATCAAAGCAAGCTTCTTCCAGATTCACAGCAAGAATGCAGAAAATGCCTTGGAGGTTACCGCCAATCACTTGATCTTTCTGCAAGATCATTCCAGCCCGGTGCCTGCACAAGACATCAAGGTGGGGGATGCCCTTCGTGGTGGTGACGATGGTCTGAAAGTTACCAAAGTTGGCACTGTGGAGCGAGCCGGTATTTACGCTCCTTTGACCACTGGGGGGACGGTTGTGGTGGATGGGGTGACGGCATCTTCCTACATTCGTCTCCACCACAAGACACCACAAAAGCAACTCCTTTCGGATCATGACCTGATCCATGTGGCACTTTCGCCCTACCGCTTGCTCTGCAATGGGGTATCTGGAGCCTTTTGTGACACCAAGTACTACCTGAATGATGGAATGCCCTTTTATGCTCACTATGGACTGGAACTTTTGAACTTTCTCTTGAACAGCCATGTTGTGGTTAGCAGTGTGGGAATGTCCTTTATTTTGCTGTTGACGGGTGCTTGTCAGGTTTTGGAGAACCTCTTTGGTGCCTCCTTGGCTCCCTTGATGGTGTTCCTTGCTGTGGTTGGCTATGTTTCCCATTCCAAGAAGAACAGCCACAGCAAAAGGAAGGCCTTGTAAGAATGGAATCCTATAATACAGCCAAATAAGTAGAAGATACCCATGATGGCTCATCTTAGAACTAAAACCGCTTTGGAACAACTTGCTAGCTGGCCAGCCAAGTATGGAGCCACGGATCCATGGAGCCGAAACAAAGTACGGTGGACCCTGCTGCTGTTGTAGTGGTCTTTTATTATTGCGGCAACCTCCAACGTTTTCTGTCCTATGTGTTTTCCCCTCGTCCTTTAGAAGCCACTTCGTCCTAATCTTAGGAGCTGTCTTAGTTAGGGCGATTGGCAATTCCCCGATCTCACGGAACCTACCGTAGTCCCGAACTTGGCCTTTCTTTGCCTAAGCCTGGCCCTCGAGCTCCCTGGCTTCTTAGGTGTGAGTGAGGACTACTCGACCTTTTGACGAGATTTTGGAGAAGCGCAGTGCTACAGATCCGGTTGCAGAGAACAGAAACCTTGCTGCTTGTAGGTAGCCTCGCACCGTACCGGTCCTGCGTGTGCTTCCAAGATCAACGACTGTAACCAGGCGTACTCTGAGTACTACTAGCTAGTAGCTAGCTAGCAGAAATGAGTATACCACCGAGGAACGTCACAGCTACCGTAGGAGTAGACCAGTAGGGTGCCACGCAGCCATGAGTCATGTAGCCAACTTTGGCGGTGCTTTGATTGACTGAGGTACCAAGTGCATTAACTGGTACCGGTCCTGTTGAAGGTTGCCCTCAGTGGCTAATCACAAACCAACAGTAGAATATCTCACAATAAACCAAACTTGAAGTCATGAAGTTGTTTGCCAAAACAGTTGCACTTGCTGCTGTGACAGCTGTGGCGGCTGAACATCTACTCTGCCCCCCTGATGGTGCTGAGGTAAAATCAGTTACCAAATGGACCTTCTTGTACTGTATTATGGTATGATTGGATTCTTTTTCTGCTTTCTAATAATGAATTGTGACTCTTTCTTTCTTTCTCATGAATTTAATGCAGCCTGAGGAACATCCAATTGCAAAAAAAAACTTGTGTGTCCTGTGCAGTTGGTGTGATAAATATGGACCCCCACATGGACCCCCATGCGTGGATCTTCTGGCTTTTACTTGTTCACCAACGAACTACCTTGGATTTGTTGATGGCTTGTGTGAAGCATGCAACACGTGCTCATCGGTGGAGGGGTGCGATGTCAATTTGATTTTCAATACTGGTTGTGGTATTTGCGGTCCTGATGATGGCGTTTTAGAGCCGGTTTCTCTCTTTTGCTTTTCCGAAGTTTCCACGGTGCAGGTATTGCGTGGTGATCTCAGCAGCAGCACTCCCATGAAGGACTTGAAGGTGGGAGATCATGTTCTGACCGCCGACGGAAGCTACCAGCCAGTGTATGCCTTTGGCCATCATCATCCCACCATCAAAGCAAGCTTCTTCCAGATTCACAGCAAGAATACAGAAAATGCCTTGGAGGTTACCGCCAATCACTTGATCTTTCTGCAAGATCATTCCAGCCCGGTGCCTGCACAAGACATCAAGGTGGGGGATGTCCTTCGTGGTGGTGACGATGGTCTGAAAGTTACCAAAGTTGGCACTGTGGAGCGAGCCGGTATTTACGCTCCTTTGACCACTGGGGGGACCGTTGTGGTGGATGGGGTGACGGCATCTTCCTACATTCGTCTCCACCACAAGACACCACAAAAGCAACTCCTTTCGGATCATGACCTGATCCATGTGGCACTTTCTCCCTACCGCTTGCTCTGCACTGGGGTATCTGAAGCCTTTTGTGACACCAAGTACTACCTGAATGATGGAATGCCCTTTTATGCTCACTATGGACTGGAACTTTTGAACTTTCTCTTGAACAGCCATGTTGTGGTAGCAGTGTGGGAATGTCCTTTATTTTGCTGTTGACGGGTGCTTGTCAGGTTTTGGAGAACCTCTTTGGTGCCTCCTTGGCTCCCTTGATGGTGTTCCTTGTTGTGGTTGGCTATGTTTCCCGTTCCAAGAAGAACAGCCAAAGGAAAAGGAAGGCCCTCTAATAAGAATCCTGTCTAATGTTAGACTACTTTGTAACTTTCACCAAGCCAGCTAGCTACCGGTACATGTAGTACATGGAGCGTAACCGAGAAGCTACATGTACTAGCTAGCTGTTTGTAGACTGCGGAAGTTGACCGAAAATTGGGGCTACCGGTACCGGTACATCGTATGCATAACCCTACTGCGAAGGGACTGTGTTTCCAAGCGGGATTGCACATCGGCCACCGCTTTCTCATTTTTCTTGTCATCCGAGCGTCGAGCACCATCTTTTGCACAACCACCAATAATTGCAGCCTGTGATATATGAATGATATCCAGGAGAGTACATGTCCGGTACGGCACTTGGTACATGTATTATATTAGTCTACTAGAGGAACCATGATCCGAGCAGCTCTGAAGCAAGCTGCCTCTACCACGACAGTCAGGACTGCCGCCACCATTGCTCAAACCCCGGCATTGTATACCGGTACTTCTACTACCAGAACCAGATGTTGTATCGGTAGAACACAGGAGTATAGCTGGGGTTATCCAAGCTCTGACTACGGACAGTTTTGCTCTTACAGAAAATCTACCAGACATGACGTATACATGTACCCACAGTGGATCACTACCGGTACTGATACCCCAATGCTGAAACAGAAACGAAGAATGACAACATCCGCATCAGCCGTCACACCCAAGGAGGAACCAAGAATAGGAAAAGATCCGAAAGTTCCCAATAATAAGATTTTGCAAATTCCCATTGGATCGCTTTCACCAGAGCAATGGCAGGCTGCTGTCACTACTCAAGAAAGTCCAACCACTCACTCGTCCTTTCCACTGCTAGGACGTCTCGTCCAGGAATACCAACTCAATCCACAATTCGCAGGATCCCAAAAACATCTCACCGAATTGCAGACCATGCTGAGGCACGTCAGTCTGAGTTGGGAACAGAAATGGGCCAATCAATCAAGACAAACATCATCATCTTCTTTGTGGACTCCGGACAAGGTCCTGTCCTTTCTGCAAGACTGTGAACGAGACCTTCCAGAGCTGTCACCCGATTTACGCACGTACAATGCCATTATGAATGGATGGTTGGCTCAAACTACAATATCAATAACCACAAACAACCTTGCTCCACAGCAGTGCGTCAAACGGGTAGAACAGTTAATGCCGTTTCTGTGGGAACGATTTCCACAACAGCTCGATACCCGAACCTATGAGATTATCATACAAATATACAGCCGCGCCGGATGCTTTCAGCAGATTTGCAATGTCTTGGACCAAATACTGCAACTGCACAACAGCAACAAAAACAAAAAGAAGACACCAGTTCCACTTCGGTTCCAGCAACCAGTCTTTGATCAGACGCTGATGGACTGTGTCAACGGAGGCCATCGCCATGCCGGATTCACGGCCGAAACCATTCTCGAAAAACTCAATCACATGTATCACGCCGGATTGCTGGGATTCCGCCCGCACGCTGCGACCAGTTACACCATGGCCATTATGGCATGGGCCAAGTCGGGACATCCCGAGGCGGGAAACAGGGCCATGGCAATCTTGGACGAATTGACGCGGCGTAGTGCGAGTGATCCCATCATGACACCCTCCGCGCACACGTACAGTGCCGCGCTGCATGCCTGGGCCAGATTAGGAAATGCCAATCAAGCCGATGCATTGTTGGATCGAATGTTTCAAGTATATTACGACAACAACAAGAACAAGAACCACAACAACAAGAAGAAGGCCATCAAACCAGAACTGATCAGTTTCAATAACGTGTTGGATGCCTATGCCAAATCCGGACTGAAAGACGCGGGTATCCGATCGGAACGGCGGCTACGGCAAATGTGGGACTTACACGACCAGGGAA